ATGAATACCCTTCTAAAATCACTCAGCATCTACTGAGAATTGCATCTATGAAGTATGTTGACTCAGAAGTGATGTAAAATCACTTTGCTACTAGAAGAGAAGGTCCTGCCCTCCTCTGAACAAAAGAAATACTATATTTCAGCAGGAACAGTGAGCTGATCTGTCCTGTACAGGGCCTCTGAATAACTCTTAAATGTATAAGAAGTGGTAAAAATGTGTGTAATGGTGCTAGCAAAGCTATAGTGAGCTCTACATGCTTTTAAAAAGTAACATGCAGTATCTGTGATACATTAACGACTCATTAAATATTTATTATACTCTATAAGGTAAATAAACGAAAAGAAATTTTTATTTCAAAAGCATTTTAAGCAAAAACTAAGTGGAAAGTCATTGAATTTTTAAGGACATTTTTTTTGAGATTAATTTTTAAGGAACTTCTACTTTATATTGTTACCTCAGGTAATTAGGTTAAGTGTGTATATCGGTTCATAGGACTTAAAGATAAATGTAGGAAATACTTTTAAATTAGTAAAAGACTTAAGGCTGGATGCTGTGAAATCCTGTTTTCTAATCAGAGTCCTAATTTTCTCTTAGTAGTTAGTGAGCATTGCATATCCGAGGGCCATATTAAATTTGGCAGGAAAAAAAAAAAGTCCTATTTGGTCAGAGTAGACAATATGACTTGGACTGCTGTCTTTGTTACATGCTTATGTCCCCAAGAAACACATTCAACTTTCCCTGTTTGTTTCAGAAATGGCAGAGTCCTCTGATACTTTACGGGGTTATTCAGCTGATTAGTTTAGAGGAGCTTTTTTGCTTTATGCCTTAATAACTGCTTCCTGTCTGAAATCAACTGCATTTTATGGGAACAACCTGACTTTTGGTTTAATTGTCAATAACTGAGCAGACTTCTAGCAGTCTCAAAACATATTTTAAGTTTTTCGGGACATGATTCTGCTTTTCAATTTTTGAGGCTAGACTCCTCTTTTTTTTTCCTCCCCATGTAGTTCATAATTCACCGGAGAGTATGGTACAGGAATAATTGTTTTCAACTTTCTGCTATCTTGCATCTTTCACATCACATTGTTATATATTTTATTTCCATTTGTTATCCCACTAGGGGGGACAGTAACATCTTCATTTTTATGAAGACTGTTCCTAAAACTAGCAGAAATAAGAAAAGACAATATTATGGTGCCATAAATAAGCTACAGAAAACATGGTGCTGATTACAGGTTTTTAACTCTTTCTTATTTCACCTCATGTTTTTTAATGAAAGTACTATAAGAATATTTAGTACCATGTTGTCAGAAGCCTGGCTACCCTGCTCTGAATAAGGCAGAAGTAACTTTACAGAAATCAATACTTGTGACATTAAAACCACTGTAGTGAAGAGAACCACACTGGAAGTCAATCTACAAGGAAAAAGTGTAATGTCTACTCTGTGTCCACAGAACTGAAACAAAGACAAAGCCCTGGAGGAATGGACAGAACCCCAGGGAATGTGCTGAAGAAAACAGCATTTTTATTGGTATGGAAACCCACTATCTGTGGGGGTTTTTTGTTTTTTTTTTTTTTTTTTTTTTTTTTTTTTTTAAAAAATAGAAATAACTTCAACTGCAAATCTACCTATTATGGTGTCAGAAGTACTACCATCTAGCATTTCTTTATAATGTAGTCTCCTTACTACCTGGCAGTAAGTGATCACTCCATTGCTCGAAAAACATGGAAATTAACACACAGATAGCATGAAGAGAATTTTTAGTGTAACTGTACAAGTCAATTGACAAAACATGTTGATGAGACTTTCCAATTAAAATAACTGATTAGGAATTAATTCAGTTCATTGATTTACATTTTTAGCTTGCTTAGGACACTAAATATTTCAGAATGGTCTGCTCAGGATGGTTCAATGTCCATGTGGGTCAAGTTTGATTCTAAAGTAGCCTCTTTATAGAGGGAAGGCTTGTTTGCTGAAAATGTCTGTGTGAGAATTCTTGCTGATTGCATATTCATGTCCCTTTTCAAAGAGCAGGGAAGTAACTCCTAGATTTAATAAAGACTTAGATGCTATTAGTCCAAGGAAACGGTGTTTAAAGGATAGCACCTGGGCTTGTTGAATCTTACTTGCTCTGCTATACTTGTCAGTCATGTGTGGAGTTAGCCTCTAGAAACAGGAATAATTTTGTACCTTGTTTTACGTAAACCTACTCTCCCCCATCCTACCCCTGCACAATGGAGGTTATTTGAAGGGTATCTGCATTGAAATTTCATTTGCATTAGACTAGTACAGTCTCTATTCACAATAATCACAGAAAGAACTGCGGAATATTTCAGATTACTAAAGCCAGTAACTTTTAAGAACTGCCAGTGCTATGAATTGAAATTATAAGTATTTATTCGTTCAAGCTAACACTGAAGGACAAGAAAGATAACAATAGATTTTATTCTGGCAACTTTTATATTATAACCAAAGACTCAGAATGTTCATCTTCTCTGTCAAGCAAAACATCATTGTACCTCCCTTGGTCATTCAATCTTTTCAAACATATCATTATTTCAAAGATGGAGCATACCTGCTGGCTGCCTCTGTGTGCTGAGGTCACAGAGTGACAGACACAGGTAAGAAAGGACACTATAAATATCTTCCATTCCCACTCTCCACATTTCCTCTTTAAGTACTGAAAATACTATTATTAAGTTTTGCTTGTTTTGCTTATTTGATGGGTTTTTTTCCTAGCAAGAATTAATTTTCACAGATATTGGCCCAAAATAGAAAACATCACCACCTATGTGACTATCTTCACCTTTAAAAATAAGTAGGCATAAAAAAAAAAACTAATTAAGAGAAATGTAGAAATTTCTGGAAGTATTATGTTACAGTGATTTTCAAATTATGATTAATGACTTCGTAATTAAGAACTGAAGTGATATCTACCCAACTGTTTACCTAAAAAGTTTATACCCTGATTAGGCAATCACTATCCTCCTGCACTTTATGCCATTTGACCTGGAGACATGCCAGTGAAGTGAAGCAGTCACCCATTTGACAGATGGAAAGGTACAATTCCACATGGATGGCACGGAATATGTACTGAACTATTTCATAGTTTTAACCTCGCCCATGATAAAGACCTATCATAAAACTTTATCAGATCAGAAGGGAGAAAGAATAGTTGTGCCAAATTGCCACAGAAATAAACAAAAAGCCCAAATTCAAGCATAATGAATGCTATCAAAGCATATCCTTTCCTATCTGAGATGCTTTAGACAAGCTGCTTTAAACTTTATGTATTGCATTCTTTTTTTAAAAGCTCTTGCTTTATATATGCTGTTTTCTCTATTTTCCACCATCACACTAAAAATAACAAGCTAGCTGCCTCTCATATTAAACACCAACTAGTGTTAACCAAACAATCAGACACATACAGCTCTGAGTTCTAGAAGAGAAAAATTTTGCATGCATAAAATAACAATAGCTGAATTCCTGCTTTTCATAAAAACTTAAATACCTTCTAAACACTTCACATTATCTAAGATGAACAAAACATTTAAAAAATCTCAAACAATAAACAAACTTTATTTGATGTTGTTTCTTTTACTTTTATTGGCTACCTGGTATCTATACCCATCTGATGGGATGAGCAATGACCATCTCTCCTATAATTAATGCTTGAACTATGAAATAAGTATGACATTATTGGACAATATAAAGACACCATTCCTAAGGTATCTTTGCAAAAATTATTCAATCAATAAAATACCTAAATGGAAATAATATGGAAATTTTAAAAACCAACAATTGCACCCATTTTAATACAAATTCCAAGCTAAGTAAGGAGTATTTAATTTCTTTGAGATTACTCCATAAAATGGAAAGAGAACATTTCTACAGTGTAAAGAGACCATATTTGTTTTATAGAATAAAACATGGGATTTATTTTGCAAGATCAGAAAATGTGGAAATAGTTCATAGTTATTCTATTTTTGTTAAAAAAAAATGCTCTTCAAAATACTTCGGTGGGTGGGTAACTAGTACATCGATTTAAAATTAAAATGTCGTCGTGTTCTCAGTGAGGACTGTGAAAATGGAATCATAATACTGTACACATTTCATTTCAAGGTCCTCTAAACAAGGCTTCTCATTTTACAAAGAAAACCTTTTCTCCTTTTAAATGTCAGTCTACAAATTTACCTTCAAGTACAAGAGCGAAACTGACTTTTTTTTCCTTCTCAATCATTCTGTTTAAAAATTACGATTATGAAGGTCAGGTTAGTCCTGAATGACATCTGCATAACATGGTTACATCCACTTGGTTTGTCCCTAATCCAGCTCTCATTTTCATCTTAATTCCTTATAATTTGTGGCATATCTATCTTCCTAGTACATTGCCAGATGGGTTTTTCTCTGTTCTAGACAGAGTAGACTGTAGATCCTTACAATCTTTTAAAAAAATCAATTGCTACTGAAATGCCTCAATATAAAGATAGTAATCAGGCAAAAAAAAAAAAAAAAAAAAAGCCTTTCACTCCCACTGCTGGTTGAGCATGCCTTGACTCATGCATACATGTACATGAAAGCCAATTCTGTACCTGGAACAAGATAATCAACAACTCTGGCACACATGGAAAAACTTCCATGTCATGGTGTCTTCAAAAGTTTTATTTAAAGGAGTAGTAGGAAAAAGGCAACTCAGAAGTGTTTTTCAAATGTTTCGGCATATTCAGACTGTATTATAAAATACCTTATTAGAAAATAATTTTTTCCCCCTAATCTGTTCTGTGTTCTGACTAGAGAAGAAACATAGCAAATGTAAGTAAATATGGTATTATTATCCACTTTTTTAACAGCCATGGAATGAAGTAAACATAAGAGATAGTAATAGTTTTCTGTATCACTTCAATAAGCACACTAGTTTCCTTACCATGAGGTAGATGAAAAACTGTAAAGAAATGAGATTTATAAAAAATAATTAAATATATAAACTATTAAACCTTACCTTGCCAGCCTGGTTTGCATACTGGTTTGACATTGACTCGTACTAAGACATCTTCTGTTGCATGTTTTTGCCCACAGTCAAAAGCTGTTACCATTATCTCATACTGGTGCTGTTTATCATAGTTCAGTTTCTCAGTGTTTCTGATGTTACCTATAGATTCAATACAATAACATTCAGAAATTACTTCTTGGTTAAACACATACAAGACTATAATGTTTGGGTGCTGGTTAATTAAGTTCTTTGTGATCAGAAAGCTCTTTGAAGCATATGGGACATCCACAGACAGAAGAGTTATGAGGAACGGGCAGTATCTTCTTTCAATCCAGCAGAGAATAAATAAATTCTTAGGCAAATATAAGATGCTATGAATATAATACGGGCATGTTTATATTAGAAAACATCTGCTCAACAACACTTTCTAAAGTAAGACTGTAAGAATCATTAGCAGTTACATCTTGAAATGTAAAGTATGAGCAGGTGTAACCTGATTTTCCACATCTTCCCAGAATATACTACTTCAACACAGCAGCCACATTCCTGAAAGCTACTGGTGAACATCTCCCCAGCCTAACATGTCTTTCTTTTTTCCCCTAAACCTATTACCCTTCATGTGAGAGAGATTTTTAGCCCTTTTGACACCTTTCCCTGGGTTTTAAAAACAGGAAAACCCCCAGAATCACCTTCTCAATTAGTGGTATTTGATATGGCAGCACAGAGTTATCACATGGAATATACAACTCAGCAGATATTTAAAGGTGACAAATTACCTGTTTTGGGAACAAAGACATTACAAATTCTACAAAAAAAGGGATCAGGGTACTCCCTGCAGAACTGGAAGATTACCATGCCCAATGTATGTTCCTGTAATTAATGAGTTCAGCATTTTAATTGTCTATTTCCACTTCTTACTCAAATTGAATCTTGAGACTTTTAATACATTTCACAGTTTTGCTCAGGGCTATTTGTTATACCATCTTTTTGAATGACAATGTTTGTTCTAGACTTCAAGAAACAAACTTATTCTGTAACAATGCTACACATAGCAACTGCTTTCAAGCATGGATCTGCAAAATCAAGTTGTGTGGGCTAAATTTGTAATGGGGAGCATCCAAAACCTGGAGTCTAATCAAATACAGTGATCTGATTCCCATAGGTGCTGGTTAAAGTATCTGTGTTAGGCACGTTGGCATTGCCGGCATGTCTCAAACCTGACCTTCTCCTACAGTGGTTGGTTCTTCATTCTCTGGTCCCCACCTTTGCCTTCTGAATGTTGGGGGTGTGGCTGGAGCACTTGCCACTGAAGACTGAGGCAAACAAGCTGTTGAGTACCTCAGCCTTCTCCATATCTCTGGTAACTAGGTTTACCAATTCCCTTCCACAGAGGTCCCACGTTTTCCCTAGTCTTCCTTTTATCACCAATGTACCTAGAGAAGATTTTCTTGTTGCCCTTGACATCCCAGGCCAGATTTATTTCTATCAGGACTTTGGCCTTCCTAACCTGATCCCTGGCTGCTTGGACAGTTTCTCTGTATGCCTCCCAGGCTACCTGTCCTTGCTTCTACCCTCTGTAGGCTTCCTTTTTGTGTTTGAGCTTATCCAAGAGCTCCTTGTTCATTCATGCAGCCTCCTGGCAGTCTTACCTGACTTCCTCTTTGTTGGGATGCATCACTCCTGAGCTTAGAGGAGGTCAGCCTTGAATATCAACCAGCTTTCTTGGGCCCTTCTTCCCTCCAGGGCTTTATCCCATGCTACTATGTCAAGCAGATCCCTGAAGAGGCCAAAGTCTGCTTTCTTGAAGTCCAGGGTAGTGAGCTTGCTGCACATCTTCCTCACTGCCCTAAGGATCCTGAATTCCATCATTTCATGGTCACTGCAGCCAAGGCTGCCCTTGAGCTCCACACTTCCCACCAGCCCCTCCTTGTTGGTGAGAACAAGGTCCAGCATAGCACCTCTTCTTTTTGGCTCCTCCATCACTTGGAGGATGAAGTTATCATCAGTACATTCCAGGAACCTCCTGGATTGCTTGTGCCCTGCTGTGTTGTCCCTCCCACAGATATCAGGGTGGTTGAAGTCCCCCATAAGGACCAAGGCTTGTGAATGTGAAGTTGTTCCTATCTGTCTATAGAGGGCCTCAGCTGCTCAGTCTTCCTGGTCAGGTGGCCTGTAGCAGACCCCCACTGTAATGTCTCTTGCCCCTGTCTTCCCTTTAATCCTGATTTGTAAACTCTCAGTCGGCTCCTTATCTAGGCAGAGTAAACCGACAAAACAATTTAACCTATCCATTTTACTATCTTGAATTGCTTGATTAGTACCTAAGAGGATCTAATGAAAAACTGCCACTGTATACACTTAATATCTGCACAGTTATACCTTCCTTTCTGTATTATATTATTTCTTACATGAATCTTTATACTTCCCTATTTGGTTCTCCTTGGTGTTATTTTAGTCCATGATCAGCAAAGATAATTCTGAAGAAACCAAAATTGTCTGAATCTACATTAGCAGACTGGTAGAATTTTCATGGCACATTAACTGTCCTCTAAGATCTATAAATCATAACAACACATTTGCATTTCACTAAATCTGTCTTCCAAGACTTGTATTTCATTATGGTCTTTTAAGATTTGGACAACAAAGATTCTGAAAGGTCATTTGGATATCTTGCAGATGTTACTCAATAGCTTATTGATTTTCTAATTATTCTATTTTTCTGTTACCTCTGATGCTTTATGCTTCTTTGTTATTTTACAATTTGATCAATATGATTAAAAAGTAGACACAGAAGGGAAGCAGTATAGATACAGACATTAAAGTTTTAGAAATGATAGACTGAGCATTTCTATTTACATCTCACCCATAAACCAAAAGGTGATCAATAACTTTAAAAAATGAAAATTTTAATGCGAAAAGTAAGTATTTTTCTACACAGTTCACAATTAGGCCATATTTTTTTTTTTTTTTCAGTCTTTCTAAATCTCTGCCTTTTCCTGTAAATACCCAAATCTATGACAGATTTAAAAATAGAAAAACAGGTGAGTGACAACAGGAATATAAACATTCTTTCCTAAGGACACACACATTTACACCTCTCTTTCTTCAGGGTCAGTTTTGGGGATAATTTCATACAGACTTCCCTCTTTTATGGCTGTCTTTCATTATATTTTGGAGCAGTCACAAGAACAGGGAAAGACTTGACCAACTTACTATGGCAATTCCTTCTTAAATTCTATGCTTCCTTCCTGTGTGTATAAGAAGTATAAAACTGAACCTCCTAACTCTTACAAGAGGGCTAGCATTGTTACATGAGTGGCCTCTGACTTCAGTCCACTCATAGGAGTGGCAATTCAACATTCCCAGCTGTCAAGAGCCACCAGGACCTGTATTTGACCATAAGTCAATTGAAGGATTAGAATTGCTTCTTGCCAAAAAGGTGGACTTTTCAATGATAACGGAAAGAAATTGTAGTTTAGTAAATAAACATCACATGCAAGTGCTTAACTATAAAGTTTCACTACTTTTCTGACAATATGAAGTTTGCATAGCTGCTAACACAGATCTCAGTGCTGTAAAGGATACCTTGTGAGATCCTATTCACATCTGTTTTCTATCCTATGTAACTTGATGGAACCTGTACTGACTGGACAGGTAAGTCAGTAATTCACCTTCACAGAATCATAGAATACCAGGTTGGAAGGGACCTCAAGGATCATCTAGTCAAACCTTTCTTGGCAAAATCTTCATACTGATGTATATGTGAAGTGCTTCCCAGTGGTGGGTGGCAAATACAGTTATCCCCATTTTAGAGATGAAAGTAGTCTGGGCCATTACAGAATTTGTATCTATATCTAAATTCTCTGATCATCTGACCATGATCCCTGACAAAGGAAGGCAGGAAATGCATAGAAATGTTCTGCTGGCATTACAACAGATCTGTGCTTTGTGGTTTAATTTTTCTGTTGCCTGAAAAAAAGCCTACGCAATATTGATAACTCACGTGATGATTGGGATTCTCTGCTAAGAAGACAACTAGACTAAACTGCATGCAGAAGTCTCAAAACATATCTAACACCTTTAGTTCCAATTCTTTGCATAGCAAATAACAGATTTGTTCTATGCCTTTAACATGATTGTCTTTTATGACCAAGAGTTCATTACCTTTCAGGTTAGGCTCGTCATATACAAGAGTAAATTTTATTAGTGTTATGGTTTCATAACACAATGTAACTTTATTAACAAAAAATATACAAGGGTCAAAATCACCAAATGTAAATGGGAAGCTTTATATTACCTACCTTTAGGTGCCTAACCTACAGTGATCTATAACAACTACACCAGAGCTGAATGCTGCTTCCAGTGCCAGTGCTGGCTGCCCATCAACTTGTGCCTCATACAGTTTGGTGATGTGATGTAGACAGTGCACTGCTATAGTCTGGAGGGTTCTCTCTTCCTTTCTGCAAATGTTCCCCACCCAATGTGTAAAATATTTTTTTCAGGACAACAAAATTATCCCTGGATTGATCTAGATAGAAGAAATAAGCTTTGCCTAAAAAGACAATGATCTGCCAAAAGAAAAAAGCTAACAGAATAGCATGTTCATCTTTCTAAAGGCCTGTGTTTGTGGTTAGTTTCATAGGTTAGTGGTGAAAAAAAAACCCACCACGATCTGGGACTGATAATGGTATGTTTTCCTCACACCCTCCTTACTTTTGGGCCCTCTGCAATATTTAGATTTGATTCTAAGCATCTAGTTAAATGCTCTTTCTGGGCAATGAAATTCTACACTTATGTTACTGAAAAGCACAAAAAAATCATAACTTACAGAAGACACAAGAACCTAGATTTGTTTTTCACAATGGGTAAAAAATTACTATAAACAAAATCCTAATTAGCTCAGCATTAATAGACAGTCCCAGGTGTCTCATACATCTATTTTAATCATCCCATAGGTAACAAAAATAGGCACAATGCCAAAGAATTTGCATCAGAGAAAGCTTATATCAGCTGGCAGAGAGACACATTCTCAGCAGTGAAATGTGTTGGAACTAAGCAACATATTTCTGTCACAAAATAGAAGTGCAACCATCTATTCTAACTCTGTCTCTAATCCCAGTGGGTTTAAGCAATTACCATTATCTAAAAAAATTGCAAATTAGACTGCAATTACTGTTGATTGTGGCAGCGCTGTGCTTTTAGTGAACAAATAGATCAAAAAATATTAATTGAATTCATGAGCAAGAAACTACAATTACTACAACCTTCTACCAGTTATTCACTGCAGGCTTTAAAGTCATGTTTAAATCAATGATTTTCTCACTGTCTTTGCTGAAAAGCAGGTCCCAGGCACATGAAGACAAAGATGTAACCAAGGATTCCTGACACTTCACATGCCTTTGATCATGCCTCTGAATGTAAAAAACCCATGATCCCTCATGAGCCAGCTGCACTGTGTGATAGGAACTGAAAAGGCATAAGCAACAGAAATGTCTGCTCTATATCACACTAATCTCAGTGTATTATTTATCCATATCTGTAACAAACCTGGTAGAAAATTATTAAACCACCTGTAACTCTTATAAGTAGCCAGCCCCATACTGGCAAGTCACGTGGAATTCTGGAAAAATAATGGTTTCAAACGGAAACATGGAGAACTTCCTTTTATGACAACATGGGAAATTCCGCAATTAGAAAAAAAATCCATAGAGAAGAAAAGCTTCTATGGAATTACACATAAACATCTACTTTTAAATACCCACTTACTGTAAAAAATCCTTTGTGCAATTGCTCTGGCAAAAGATTACTGTGCCAGCTGACCTCATTTACTTAAACACAAACATACTCATTATGATTATACTTCCTATATAGTATACTTGCCTCCCAATGTATTATAACAAGACGACTCTTTTCCGCAATGTAATTTTCAATTTATTGATGCAAACAGGTTATTATCTTTCGATGCTCAGCTGTGCATTGTGCGAGAACTGCACAAATAAAGATGAATAATTTTTTAACAGGGGAAAAGGTTTTTATAAAACATCCCAACATAAAAATGACTGCCTAGAGAAAACAATAGCTCCATGCATGCCTTCATTTTCTAGTTTGGCCAAAAATCAGATTTAATTTCCAGAGTGTATTCTACATACAACAAAATGGATTAAATGTTTCTGTTGGGAAAGATAAATCAGAGCATTGCTGGGCATGCACACAGGGTGCTTGTTTCGGGGAAACAAAATCTGTGAGCACAGAAATTTCCATTTTGAACTTCTGCACAAGTGTGCACACATGAACATTAATAACAAGGACTCTTATCTACAAAGTGATGCCAATATGGGACTGCTGAAGTACCTGAAAGACAAAGCTACTATTTTTTATTTTCCGAAGCAAGCACAGAATGGGAGAGAGGATATTCAACACATTTTTAATGCAGCCCAGCCACCTCTCCCAAACTCATTGTCGAGTTCTGTGCTTTTCACTGGTGAGAAAAGCAGGAAGCTAACAGACAGGGCCACCAAGGTCAAAAACTGCTGCATGTGGAAAACTTAATATGGTTCATTATTTTCTTATAATATTATATACATTAGAAAACCAACTAAAATCTAAAACCCTAAAAAAATCATACTAATTCTCCAAAGCGTATTTTCTTCCATACTGCAGAGTAATGTATCTGCTTCAGGAAGCAGGACATATGGGTAGATCTGCAGACCCACACCCTGAAAGTTTAATATTCTTTAACAAGCATATATTCAATTCTACATTTAGACTCTACTCCAGAAAGTTCAGAAGAATGGGACTAGCTACAAACCAGTGAATAAATCCCATTAGGTAGAGCTACATACTGCGTTAGGAAATGCCATCGTGTGGATGGGAAACTAGATCTGAGACAATTAAAAGAATGGACTGAGTGACAGAGAAACATACTGCTCAACTAAACCTGGAGTTTTAATTTCTACAATAAATTACTGTGCCATTTTCTTACCAAATCTTAAGTAAAATGGATGGAATTTCCCAGTGCAACGATTCTTTCATTCTCAGAGATGAGAACAGTATTACACTCCTGAGATAAAACTCAAGCCAGGTTACCAGCTAGCATCAATAGGTTATTACACTATCGAAAGAAATTGCTGCTATCTGTCCCAGATCTTACAATTTCTCCTTCTCCATACTCACCATTTCTGTCAATAGCAAAAGGAACATCCGTTGTCACAATTTCATAATTGCAGATCTGGCTATACTGCGGGGAACAGTCCTCATCTATGGCTTCTACCTGCAGTATGCTGTCATAGATCTTTCCCTCTGTCACAGTGGCCTTATACACACTCTCCTTGAAAGCTGGTGAAAACTCATTGACATCCTTTACCTGGATATGGACCACTGCCCTAAAATAGATAAAGACATCAAAGAGAAAAATTAATTTATCATGACACATCACTGTTTGTTTTCAAAACACTTGAAAAGACTAACAAAACATCTAGAAAACTACATAAACATCTGTTAAAATAAGTTATTATTGAATTTCTATGTTTAATTTCCCCAGTTTAATATCTTAATGTGGCACTATGTAAAAACCTTAATGCCATAGCTTGTAGGGGAATAGCTTCACAGGGCTCCCTATAAATCAGTCTGCCTCTTAAGATAGACCCCAGCAGAAAGTCAATGATATCACTCCAGTGTAAAACAGGTTAATAAGCAAAAAAATATGAAGAGAATTACAGTAGTCTTATGTATTCACTATCTAAAAATGGTCAGTTTATGAACATTCTTCAATATTAAACGTCTCTTACCTTCTGCTAATTATAATTATCTAATGCTTTAATTAGCTACATGTAAACCTTTGAGAGTCAAAAATAACAGGCCTTTAGTATTTAATGAGCAAACTCTAAAGGCCTTCCTCTGAAAGAATTTGCTATCTGGTTTGATTGGCAAGGTAACAGAGAGACAAAGGGACTCTCTAGATCAATGGCAAAGACAGTAGTAAAGGTCGAGACCCCAGACAACCTAGCTTAGTGTGTGGTTTACTATACAGACCACTACAAGAAAGTGAAAAAAGTATTGTCCCAATGGAACAGATCTCATTTGGTAAGGATTAGAAAAAATTTTGCACAAGTGGAACACACCAGCTTGTTACTGACACGTGAGGGGAAAACGTCATAAAATTTAATAAATATGAAGCAAAAAATGTTTCTTTGACTAAATGGTTATTTGATTTTGCAGGCTTTCTTCTAAATGTGTATCCTTTTGAAATATCCTGAAAAAGTTCAGCGTGTATTATAGTCATGTGTCTTGGATGAGCAAAAGGAATAATGATTACTATTAATCATTTATTTAAATAGCTTTCAGTAAGATGAACAATTTGTAGAGCAGTTATACATCTACATGTGAGTTAAATTCATCTTTAATGACAAATGATCTGGAGCTTGATTTCGTGAATTGAAGAGGAAAATAGGCACTGTGCCACTTAAGATTATACAGGGAATTGACTCCACAGTAAAAAGCACCACCTACTAACCTTCAATACCCGCCTCTTCCTGAGGATATGAATTCCTCTGAGACTTGCTGTCCAAAAGCTGAGGTCAGAAACACGCTGTGCAAAGGCAGCATTGCTGCAACTTATATACATACATACACACAATAAAAATAAAAGGCAATTTATCTTTTCTCACCATATGAAATGAGATGAAAAGAGAGAAAACCTATTTAGAATTTGTAAGTATCAATTAAAAGCTAGCTTCCGTGTCCTGGATGATCTGTTTACCCAATGTATTTAACGTGAAAGCAAGAATGAAAAAACACACCAAACTGAGATGTGTTTCTCCACTTGAACAGGGATCCTATTAAAAGCTTCAACTGGAACTATTGCAAAATGGATCAAATTGCAGGAGGTAAAAAAGAAAAATACTTTCTAAAAGTAAAAAGGAATAAAAAGTGGATGGACTACTGCAACAATGGTTCATCTTTTTTTTATTTGCTTTCTACCTGACTACAGTATAAAAAGGAGCCCTTCAATCTGATCTGTAATGTAGAGCTAAAGCAAAAAAATCCTCTAAATTTTCACCCACTTGTGAGATTTCTTCCAGTTTGTTCCACCTAGTCCTGCTCCACAGTCGTAGGCCTGGATGATGAATGTATATTCCTTCTGCAGTTCACAGTCAATAGGACTTTTTGCTCGAAGACGACCTTCTCCAGATGTCTTGTTTAGCACAACAGCTTCGAAGGGCATTTCTTGTCCATGGATTTTAAAAGCACAGATTTCACCTGTGAGGAATAGCATAAAACAATGATAATCAGTGAGGTCTAAGTCTTACACACTAGAGTGAGACTGGAGAAGTTAGCACTCGTCTGTATTTCACATGCTGTTATAGATGGGGGAAGCACAGACTCAGTTTCTGTGTCCAGAAGGGCCATTGGCCACGTGCTCGTACAGCGTGATGTGGTGAGCACAGCTCTGGTCATGTACTTTCCTCTTCCTCTGTCATTACTAAATGCTTTCTTAAGCTCTAGAGACTATTCCCTAGATATGGTACTAACATGAATGTTGAGCTAAATTATTTTTGAGCTAATTTAAGACCACTGTATGTACTTAAAATAGCATAAATAAAAACAGAGAATATTTTAGAGGTGGTCTTTTCTAACTGCTGTCACTCCTCCCTTAAGCCGCTTAAGCTGCTAGGTGGTAGCAGATGTTCAGATCCTTGCAGTTTAGTTTCCCAGCAGTGAAAAAACTAATGATGCAGAACATGGGCACATTCAAAATATATCTTGCTTTATTTACAGACATATATCATCTTTGGAACAGAAGTAGTTGAAGGAACATGGACAAGGGTCCCATTTGGACATCTCAGTCACCCACCCACATTCATACATGACTGCCTTCTTGGCAGCAACTCAGTCTGCCTCCAAACTGCCTCCTAATGTCATAGATCCCTAGTTTCTCTCAGAGAAATACTATATAACAAAACAGATGATATAGCAAGGACTAAAAAAATTGAATTGGACACAACAGACAACATAAAAACAGTCTTGTGAGAATTTGAGTCTGGAAGGGGGGAAAAAAGTTTCTGGTGATCCTTTTTTAATCCTTCATACTGATGGCAAGGATATGCATGCTGAATTCATTTTTAGCCACTCCAAAATCCAACTTTAAAAATGAAATATTTATACAAAGACCAATGTGGCTTAAATATTTTTATGACACATTAAACACATACTCTTTTATGAGCTAGTCAGTCTCGGGACATGCATTATAGATTCAAAGCTGTCTCCCACTCACATAATCTTTTTCCATTTATTTCCAATTTACAGTTGCAGCCTTTTGGAAATCTCCTTGCCAATCATATCTGAGTCAACTGCCAAATTCTAAATTAACTCTGAATCTATGACCTCTAATTCAAGCCTGGCTTCTCTCTCTCATTTTCTAATAGAATATATTGTTTATTTTTAGAGAAGAGAATAGACAGTGACTTTATAAAAGTGCTGGAGCTCTTAATTGCTGTTATGTGTGAGAAAGTGAAAATGGGAAGGGTGGGGTGTGTGTAGGGTGGGGATTTGGTACACTTAGAATATCAGTACAGGATTTTTAGGATATTCTCTCAACTACCACTACATATGTTTCCCTTTATTATAATGGGAGCTGAAGCTGAGCTCAGCTACAGACACATTTAGGCAGATGAATCCCACACTTAATAACTGTAATCAATTCTATGAATGTCTTTACAGGACCAGCACTGGGAAAATACATTAAGTATTTGCTTGGACATTTGTTTGCTCCAACCCCTCACTCAAGTGGCAGGAAAGGGCAGTGTGGTTTCTTAAGACAGACAACAGACATGCTCTTTTCATTCACCCTCACTGAGCCCAAATACTTGGGCTATAGAAGAAGGAATGGATTGTACCCTGAGAATGAGCCTCTGAAAAGGACTAAATCTATAAAAGCAGGCTCCACAATGTTTATGAACTGTTGCGTAGGAAACAAAACATAAGATTAAGAGAAGACTCAATTAAAGCAGTTTGTTCAGCTTTGATCATGGGCACTGATCACTGAGTTTCTATCTCAGCGTTGTCACACATACCTTTGATTAAAAAGTATCTTAATTGCCCTGCAACTTCAAAATGAAACACTCATCTAAAATGATATTGTGGATTTCAGTTTTATTTTAACTGAATATGAAAACAACAGTGTAAATGTAGGTGTGTCTAATGGAAAAATACTATTTGTTGTGTTTTGTAACAGTGGCCTTCATAGTTTTGTGTTTGTTATTTTATTGATCCACTGTTTGTAAACAATAGAACATTTGCAGACATCTAAGCCTACTGTTCTTAAAAACCAGAAAAAGCTCAGGGCAGAAAAAAAGTTCTCAGCCTTAATCTAAAGATTTATCATATTTTCCTCTCCAAATGCAGAGGCCTGATGCAAAGCAATCATAGAAGCAGCACATGTTCTACTTAGTTCTCAGCATATATTTTAGAAGTCTATATCCTGCTCATAGGCTAGATAGTCCAGCTTTATATAAAACTAATCTTGTCTCTTATTTCCCCATTTCCCAAAGATAATGACAGCTGCATGGATATGAGGAGATATTTGTAAACAGAATGCAACACCCCCCACCCCCCCACTTCTAAATTGTGGCTACAGCAATGTACTTTGTGAAAACAACTATATATGTTTTTAAAAACTATGTAATTATTTTATTTTATTTTTTTTAGGAGGAGGACTCCTCTACTACAGTTTCCAAAGAAATGAGTTAGCACTGTTGAAAAATGAAAATGTATAGCAATCATAACAATTCTAAAAAGGTGCCTTTATGACTATATTGGAAGTGGAAATGATAACAGTTATAACAGCTGTAACAAAGCAGAAAATTAAATAAGGTCCACCTTTACACTGAGAGACACACGCATTTACAGATATATAGAACTACTACTACTAGGCAATACAAATAGTGTCTTTAAAATCTAACAGATACTATTTTCCATTATTAAATGGAGCTACAGAGGTTTATTTAAACCCAGCCGAGCTAACTCCAGCCATGGATGCTAATGGGAATTGGGCCAAGCTTATGTTAGTTGCTGGATTTTTAGATATGTATTGTTATGGAAGTCATTTGAGGAAAAAGAGACACGGTCTCCCCCTCCTATTCAGGCTCACCACTTAAGCTGCAGAACAATCACATTCAGGTCCTTGGTACCACCCACATTCCTTCTCCTTTGTAAGGCTGAAGTAAGTAGAGCACAGATTGGGACATTCTTTTCCTCACAACAGACAACACAGTAAAATGTTAAGCTTTATTCTTCATTTCATTTGAATGGGTTTGGGAACAGGAGCATACACAATTCAGTGATCATAAAAATGGTGGTGGCAAGGCTTTCATGAAATAGGCAGAGGAGCAGGCTGTTCCTCTGTGCCAGAAAACAAGCAGGCGGGGAAGGAGACCAGCCTGGCTAAACAGGGACCTTTGGCTGGATCTCAAGAACAAGAGAATCTATTGCCTTTGGAAGAGGGGGCAGGTCTCTCATGAAGACTATAAAGATGTAGTGAAGCTGTGCAGGGAGAACATTAGGAGAGCCAAAGCACAGCTAGAGCTCGACTTGGCCACAGCTGTTAAGGATAACAAACAACGTTTCTATAAATTTGTTAACAGCAAAAAGGAGGATTAGGGAAAATCTCCCTCCTTTAGTGGATGCAGAAGGAAACATGGTAACTAAGGATGAGGAAAAGGTTGAGGTACTCAATTCCTACTTTGCCTCAGTCTTTAGCAGTGGAACTGGCTGTTCCCTGGACACCCAGCCTCAGGAGCTGGGAGATGGGGAGGGGAAGCAGAATGAGGTCAGCACAGTTGAAGAGGAGGTGGTCAGAGACCTGCTGCACCACTTGGATGCACAAAGTCTGTGGGACCGGATGGGTTACACCCAAGGGTGCTGAAAGTGTTGGCAGATGTGCTCACCAAGCTGCTTTCCACGATTTACCTGAAATCATGGCTAACTGGGGAGGTCCCATTGGACTGGAGGGTGGCAAATGTGACACCCATCTATAAGAAAGGCAGAAAGGAGAATCCAGGAACCTATAGACCTGTCAGTCTGACCTTGGTGACAGGGAAAGTCATGGAGCAGATCATCTCAAGTGCCATTAAAAGTCACATAATGGACAACCAGGGGATCAGGCCGAGTCAGCATGGGTTTATGAAAGGCAGGTCCTGCCTGACAAACCTGATCTTCTATGACAGGGTGACCTGGTTACTGGATGAGGGAAAGACTGTGGATTTTGTCTACCTTGACTTTGGTAAGGCCTTTGACACCACTTCCCACAGCATTCTCCTGGCAAAATTGGCTGCTTGTGGCTTGGCTGGACACACGCTTTGCTGGGTAAAAAACTGTCTGGACAACCAGGCCCAGAGAGTTGTGGTGAACGGAGTTAAATCCAGCTGGTGGCCGGTCACAAGTGGTGTCCCCCAGGGCTCGGTGTTGGGGCCACTCCTGTTTAACATCTTTATTGATGATCTGGATGAGGGGATCGAGTGCACCCTCAGTCAGTTTGCAGATGACACCCAGTTGGGCAGGAGTGTTGATCTGCTCGAGGGTGGGGAGGCTCTGCAGAGAGACCTGGACAGGCTGGAGCCATGGGCTGAGCCCAACTGGAGGAGTTTCACTGAGGGCAAATGCTGGGGGCTGCCCTTGGGCCACAACAACCCCCAGCAGCGCTACAGGCTTGGGGAGGAGTGGCTGGAGAGCTGCCAGTCAGAGAGGGACCTGGGGATGTTGATTGACAGCCGGCTGAACAGGAGCCAGCAGTGTGCCCAGGGGGGCAAGAAGGCCAATGGCATCCTGGCTTGTGTCAGCAATAGCGTGGCCAGCAGGGACAGGGAAGGGATCTGACCCCTGTACTCGGCATTGGTGAGGCCGCCCCTCGATTCCTGTGTTCAGTTTTGGGCCCCTCACTACAGAAAGGACATTGAATGACTCGAGCATGTCCAGAGAAGGGCAACGGAGCTGGTGCAGGGTCTGGAGCACAGGTCGTACGGGGAGCGGCTGAGGGAACTGGGGGGTTTAGTCTGGAGAAGAGGAGGCTGAGGGGAGACCTCATCACCCTCTACAGCTCCCTGAAAGGAGGGTGCAGAGAGCTGGGGATGAGCCTCTTTGGCCTAGTAGAAAGTGACAGGACAAGAGGAAATAGCCTCAAGTTGCATCAGGAAAGGTTAGGCTGGATATTAGGAAGCATTTCTTTATAGGAGGGGTTGTTGGGCATTGGAATGGGCTGCCCA